CAATCTCAGACAGTGGAGTCAGAAATGTTACAGGCAGTCAGATAGGGCGAGGTCCTTGAGAGAGGATGAAGGTGAAACACATCATAGCTGCAGCTGGAAGTATATTGTCACGGGAAGTATGAAATGTATCTCCCAACATGTTAACTATATGATACACTGAGTTCTTGTTCTCTAGCAATTGAAGAATGAGTCCTAGAAAGGGTGGAAGTTAAAAGTAGGAAGATACTTGTTTAGATTTTTTTTTTTTTTGGTACCATGGATCGAACTTGGGACCTTGCACTTGCGAAGCAGGTGGCTGAACCACTGAACTAAATCCCTGGCTGGAAGATATTTATTGGTAGGAAACTCCTGAGGGGCAGGAGGGATCCTGAGTAGGTAGCCCAAGGACTCCACTTTACAGAGAAGTTTTATAAGGCGAAACTCACGTGGGTACAATGTGGGCCACAGCCATGAACATCCCATAAGTTTACAAGTGTAGTTACTTAGGTAGTGGTGGTCCAATTGGGAAGCAAGTCAGGTAGCAAGTGTGGAGGGAAAGAACAAGGATTTTCCTAGGAGGTGGTGGGTCCAGAGGTCTCTGGTCACCCCTAGGGTGGTTGATGCCTGTCTATACCTTAGTAGGCCCAGTTTTATGAAGAAGTATGTGGGTCTGGTCATCTTGTCTCCATCTTGAGGCCTGGTTTTCAGCCGATGTGCAGCTGTGGTGTGTTTCACCTTTGTCCTGGCCCTCTTGAGGACTTAGTCCTATCTGAGTGCCCTATAGTATTTCTCATCTATCTATGATATTATCAGTTGGAAGCTGGGGCTCAAGATAAAGGCAAAGTGATCAGACCTGCATACTTCCTCAAAGAACAAACACTGGGCCTACTGAATCCTAGATAGATATCAGTCACCTCACTGGGTGACCAGGACCTCTGGACCCACCACTTCCTAGGACAATCTTTGTTTTTTCCATCCATGCTTGTTACATGACTTTATTCCCAGTTGGGCTATTACCTAACGACTATACTTGTAACCTTATTGGTTGATCATGGCTGTAGCCCATGTTGTACCACCTGGGTTTTCCTCCATAAAACTCCTTTTTAGGTCTGGGGATTTAGCTCAGTGGTGCTGCAACTGCCTTGCAATTGCAAGGTCCTGAGTTTGATTCCCAGTACCGCAAAACTAAACAAAAAGTCCAAAAAACTCCTCTGTGAAGTGGGGTTTCTGGCTACTCATTTGGGTGCCCTTCTGCCCCTCAGGAGCTTTCCAATTAATAAATATCTCCTTACTCTTAGCCTCTATTGTTCCTAGAATTCATCCTTCAATTTTTAGAGAACAAGAGCTCGGCATATCCTACAGCTAACAGGTTGGGAAATATATTTCATATTTTATTTCTGGTATTTCTGTGTCATTGCTTTGTAATTCAGGTTGGCCTTGAACTGACTGTGTAGCCAGGTTGGCAGGAATTTGTAGTGATCCTCCTGCCTCAGCCTCCTGAGTGCTGGGATTACAGGTATGTGCCACCATGCCTAGCTTATTTGAAGGTTTTTAAAGCCTGCTGTAGAAGGAGAAATAAAAAACAAGAAGTCTGAATTCAAATCTCAGTCCATAATTAGCCAGATGATGTAAGCAAGCCTTTTACCTCTCTTGGACTCTTTTTTAAAAATCTATAAAATCTCCTGAATTTTGTTTTGTTTGCTTTGGGGGGTTGCTGTTTTATTAGGATGTAAACTGCACAAAGCCAAGGAGGCTGTACTTTTGTTCGCTATCTGTATCCCTAGGGCTTGAACAGTGACAGCACAGGGTGGTGATTCAGAAAGCATGTGGGTGAATGAAACAAGGCACAGTATTCTCACTGTTTTGTCAGTGTGTGTGCACAGAAAGCCTTAAAATCTGCTCTCGGGTCATGACACATTTGCAGGGGCTGCCCAGAGAAAACAACTGACTGTTCTTTGAAGGAGTTCTAAAAAGCCTGAGGGAAGGTTCACTGAACCACCGAGTGAGTAACGACATCCTGTGAGGTGGAACACAGCACCCAAATGGATCTTTTATTAGTGCTATTAAAATAAATCCCAGTGACACACAGCTGTGACGCATGCTCTTTGTAATAATAGAAAACGGGAGGGCTAGCTTTTCCACCATTTTCTTCCACACTACTACGACTCCAGTCACTGCTTTTAGACTCTTTCTTTTCACCAATGCATAGGTCAGACTAGGAAAGAAATTTTGGGTCCAGGGTCTTGTTTCTGATTCTGACAAGTCACCCTGAGCCCTCCTTTTCATCATTTTTATGTTTCTTTTAATTGCAATTGAGAATATGTATATGTGTGTGTACTGGGGATTGAACTCAAAATCTTTACACTGAACTACATCCCCAGCTTTATTTACTTTTTACTTATTTATTTATGTGACTTGGTGATCCTTCTGCCTCAGCCTCCCAGAGTGCTGGGATTATAGGTATGCACTACTGTGCTTGACTGTTAACTTCCTTTTACATATTGAAGATCACATATGTTAGAGCCAAATTTTGGGTTTCTTTCTTCCACAGCTATGTGGTGCTCAGGACCCTGATGCTGTAGACCCTTCTGTTCCAAGGTCTTCTCCACGAAGGGACAAGCATTTTTGCCTGTTTTTGTTCCCTGCTGTAATCCCAGCTTCTACAATTCAGCCTGGCACATCAACAAGGATTTTTGGGGGGCTTGGGTTACCAGGAATTGAACTTGGGCCACTGCACTTGAGAGGCCGATGGCGGAACCACTGAGCCAAATCCCTGGCCCCCTCGATAAGGAGTTTTGTCTCCCTTGAGCAGGCACTCAATACAAATATGTTGGTTGGGAAAAAAAATGATTAGAACTGAGTGTGATGATGGACGCCTGTTATCCCAGCATTTGGGAAGCTGAGGCAGGAGGATCACCACAAATTCGAGGCTACCCTGGGCTACATAGCAAGACCCTGATTCAAAAATAAATTTTTAAAAGGATGCATGATTAGCAAGGCGCCGCAATTCCTCCTGCGACTTTTAGAAAGTGTGTCTTGATTTCTTCTGTAGCCAGCTCCACCAGGTAGCCTTTCCGCGTCTCCGTCGCTCCTCCAGCCAATAGGTGGCACTGTGGCGACCGGCGAGCTCAGCAGGCAGCGGCGTTCTTCTTGGTGCGGCTGCTT